CTTTATGGAACTTAGGATTCGCAACGAACCGAGTCGCGTCCCCTCTCGTTCCTTATCGTGTGCCTTGACAAGCGCCGCTAGCTTGCCTCGAGTTGGGCAATCACGAGCCATGTGTGCACCGTCGCACAAGAAACACTTGAAGATACGTCCCTTCTTGTGTTCTCCTCCGCTCGACTCTATCATCGCCCTTGGAGGGGCCATTGGTAGTTTGCTTCCACCTGGGCGGTGGAATTTGTTATGATCTCCCCCATTAACGCCCTTGTCCCTCGGTCGGGTGTCCGGCTTGCTTACGGGAGTCGATTTGTACTCCACCAAGGCCTCGGCCACGGACATGGCCGTTGAAAGGTCTTTCGCGTTGCATCGCTTTAACTCTTGCTTAACCCATGGTTTCAAGCCACCCATGAATTGGTGGTAGGCCTCCGTATCATTCATGGACGGAATTTGGAGTAGCAACTCCGATAACTTCCGGACATACTCACGGACTCTTCCTTTTTGCTCAAGGCGACGGAGTTCATCTTGAGCTTCTTCCTCCGCATAAGCGCGATAGTATTGTCGTCGAAATTCCTCGACGAACAATTCCCATGTAGTGATTGGTTCACCACTCCGATCGTCACTCCTACGACGCCACCATAAGAGTGCATTATCAGACAAGTACATAGCCGCGGTACTTACCTGAATCGCCTCGTCGGTGATCCCCATCGTTAGGAAGTACTGCTCCATGTACCATAGGAAGTTGTCCACGTCCTTGGCCACCCGTGAGCCTTTGAACTTCTTTGGCTTCGGGGCGTCCACTCATGGACTGGCTTGCACGGTGATCACCCCGTTCACGCGTGTTCCTTCCATTTCGGCGACTTTCGCCTTAAGTTCGGCCATCTCCGCTCACATAGCCTCCACCAAGGCCTCCAAGGCATTGTCCCGTTGCTGAAGTTCATTGGTGGTGTCGGTCAGGTTGCCTAGCATCTCCCCTCGGAGTTCTCCGAACCCGGATTTGAGCTCCAGCACCTCGGTCTCAAGCTCCCCCGTTCCGGTCTCGCCTCCTTCGATGCGTGCGGACATATCCTCGACCATTCCTTGGACGTCTCCCATGGCGATCTCCACCTTCGCCATGCGGGTCTCCAAGTCACCAACCATATCCCTCGAACTTGAGCTAGCACGGTCCTTCTTCGCCTTGGCGCCTTGCTTCTCGGGAGCCCTCCCACGATCATCGCCTCCGCCTTTCTCGGTTTGGGACGATACATCGGATCGTGGTTCTGTCGCGCCTTTGCCCATCGTTGCTCTGATACCACTTGTCACGGGTCGATCGATCTAGCGTTCCCACACCCGTGCGGCTTTAGGAATTTCTCCCCAAGTAAGCCTTCCCACACTCACACTCGCAAGAACTTTAGAGAGAGAAACTCTAGAGAGAGAAGCTCTGAACTTTGTATTGCTTCTTGGAAAATGAGAGATGATCAAATGAGGGGGAGGAGACCCCATTATATACAAGTATCGGGCTGACCGTATCCGTAGATCTCTCCCCAATCTCAACGGTCGAGATCGTACTCCCCCAACTACCCCACCTACCGCATTTATTACGGAAGGGTACAATTACCGTATCGCCCGCCCCTAGGAGTATTCTAGAAGACATCAAGAAAACCCTAGTACTAGAACACTCGGGGCCCGCCTTCTCGTCCAAGGGTCGGTCACGGTCCATCGTCCAGAAAACCTCAGAAACGATCCAATTCTTCGGGCCGTGACACAAGACTATGTCTCTCGCCGAGGAACTCCGTCTTGGATAAGGCAAACGCGGGTCTAATATTTGATGCAGCATTAAATGTTCTTCAGATGATTTCCATAAACTTGATATGATCTCTCTAAGTAATGTACTGGCACTAAAGCGCAGAATAAAATGCCAAATCAAATATGACTACCATGTTATGGCTTGATGATAAATTGCATGTTCGTTTATATTTTTCACGGACAGGTTATCCAACCTGAGCGAAGGAAATCAAATCTCCATCCTCAGCATCTGGCTGAACACTCACAATCGGGATACACAGAATGTTTTCCGCAAGCCACTTCTATTCACGGAGTTTGGGATCTTGTCGAAGACTCGGGCTACAACCAGAATGATAAGGACCAGTTCTTCGACATGGACCATTTGGCAATCTATTACTCAGCTCGTGGAGGCGGCGCAGCAGCGGGCAGCATGTTCTGGCAGCTTTTGACCAAAGGAATGGACTCTTACGGCGATGTTTACGAGATCATGTTGAGCGAGAGCCCATTGACTGTGATCGCCATCGCTCAGTGGTCCCAGAAGCTGAACAGGATGACGAAGGTGTACGCAAGGCTGAAGAATATAGAGGAGTGGAAGAAGGCGAGCGACAGAAGGACGAATAATGGCGGAAATACAGGAACTGAAGAGAGTGGAGTTCTCAGATCAAGTAAAGAACACACATGCTTAAAGGTCGATATAGGATCGGGATAGGGACATTGCGGTTTTGTAAATAATTCCTGCTCGTCCAAGATCGAAGCAGAGCAAATTTTAACTGTTGAGTCTAATGTTTCGCGTGGTTAGGGGGCTCTTGTCCTCTTGTTTACACCATCCCTGGGTTCTTAGGTCACATGCAATTCGAAGTTCGAAAGTTGAATGTGTTTGTTAGAATTTTTAAATATTAAATCATATATTCATCAAATAACTTAAGCTTTTAGAATTGTTGACAGTGGTTCCATAAAATTATTGGTGTTCTACCCCCAATGTGATTCGGTGATTCTTAAATATCTCAAGAAATAAATCTCATGATCAACGCTTGTTTCCGGTAGGAATTGCCATCACGATTGGTTTGGTAAGAAGAAACCATAGATAGTTAGTCGTGTGACACGAGATAGAGACCATGGGTGATGAAATCCCAAGTTAGTAGTCGATGATGGTTGCTTTGTATAGTTGCGAGTGCATTACAATGACGTAGAGATTTAAGGGGTGTAGACCTAACATTGAGCTCACAAGCAATGGAGAGATTATTGGAATACATGTGTAAGTATTGTTAGAAAAAAATCTTACATCAGAGAATTTGAGTGATTTGGAGCAGTTAATATATCATAGTTGACCCATAACTCATAGGTTTAAGTTTTTGAGTGGAGGTGATCCAACTAGATATGTTGACTGGCTTGGACTTGGGTTGCCCCTTGGCGATTTCCTTTGGTGAAGGTATCGGACTTCAATCACGTGCTCACAACACATGGTATCAAAGTAAGGGGTTCCCTGGTCAAATTTTTCCAAGCCTCTATTTGCTTCCTCAATTACATATTTCCATACTTTATACTCAGACTAAAGTCCAAACACCTAGTTGCCTCCCCAATTACATATTTTCATGCTTTAAATTTAGAGTAAAGTTCAACCTACACACGAGAGACAATGTTAGATTACTTAAATATAAAACCATTCCTTCATCTAATACATTAAACTTTTAAATTAATTGGCAGTGGCCTCACAATGTTAGGAAATTCATACAAGTGAATCCAGTTTTTCCTTGAGATAGCAGTAACTCTTGGCATGTGTTGTGCTCATCAATATTTCTATCGAGTTTGCAGAGACTTGAGTAGGAAAATTTATAAACCATGTAATTATTGGTGCCATCCGAGGAAAAAAATTTAGAAAATAAAAAAAGAAGTCCTAAACTTATTGTATGGATGTCAATTCAGTCTTAAAATTTTCAATTTGACCAATTTTGTTCTAAATCTTTTTGATGATTTTGTTCTAAACTTACTGTTGAAGTTAACGCTAACCGTCCTATGTGGTAAGACGGCATTGATATGAACAATTTTTGCATTTTCTAATTAAAAAAAAAATCAGAAAAGTCGTTAAAAATTTGCAAAAAGTATCTATATCAGCGCCGGCCATACCACGTAAGATGCCTAACATCCACGTGAGCAATTTCCAGCCAAAATTGGCTTTAATGACTATATTGGCAAATTTTTTCCGAGACTATATTGGTAAATCATCAAAAGATTTAGGATTAAATTAGCCAAATTAAAAAGTTTAGGACTGAATTGGCATTGGTACAATAGATTTATGACTTTTTTTTGGGCAATCATCCCGAAAATAGACAAAATCATCAATTAGATTGGAATTCAGCGAAGTAATGTAGGCTTTGGTTTTGATAATTATGCTGCAAGAGGCGTTGAATAGATGCATTTAGTCGTTAATTCTTCTCAGCCATGATCCGCCCAAGTTAGGAAGATGTTTGAAAAATTTTAACAGCACGAGAGATTTATGCCAATAGCCGGCTTCACACGATTCAGACAAAAGTTTCATACGATTCCTCGATATGTCGACTACCTAGATGTTAAACCAAGATATGAATTGACATCAAAAGCAATTCTAATGTGAGGTTTATTCGATTCAGCTCTGGCTCAGTTCCCGGTTTTATGTTTCACTTCAATCCAACATTGCTCAACCATTTTCATAAAACACCCGCAATGTATATGAGTGATTGAAGTGGAGCATCGAAGTGATGGAATGATGGGATTGTTAAGCGGGTCGGTCCTGCTATGGCTATCGACCGACTTGCCCTCTCCAAGCCTAGAGTTGGCCCACGAGACTCGAACGAAGGTTTGGGTCTCGTGGACTTTAAAATGGAGAGGATTGTGTGAGGCTGGTTTCACAGAGCGGCAATAACCTCTTGCTGTTGGTACCGGAAGCTTTACAGACCGGACCCGTTGAGGCCTAGTATAGCCATCTCATTTGGTTACAAGCCCACCTTACTTAGCTCGCATTAATTCTATTTTAGTCAAGCGACAATGTGAGGCACCACATTCGACCACGAGCAATGCACACAACAAATTTTTATCGACACATTGTTAAAAGTGATTGTTAAATGTAATCTTCACAAAAGTAAAAAAGATATATCCATTCTTTATATTTATTAAATTGTTCATTCATCTTCAACCCCAGGATTCGACCAAATATAATAAGGCCCAGCCCATGAGTCTATCTCCATACCCAAGCGACAAAAGCTTCGAACCGTTCATCTCCGCTTTGGCAACGTCACCCTCCATCCAAAAACCGAAGTCTCATCATCTTCAACCTCCAGCCACAAAAATTCCCACCTTCTCTCTGCACTCGCACGGCACAGGGAGCGACAAAAATGGCGCTCACCACCGCATTCCTCCCAAGGAATCTCTCCCCGCCGTCCCTCGCCGTCAACAAGGTACAATGTCGCCCCCAAGAACTCAACAAGTAATTCGTGAACTTTCCCGTTTGAAAGCTCTCATTCGCGACCCTTCTCTGCTTCCGCTTTTCTCTGTTTTTTCTCTTGTCCTTCTCGCAGGCGAAATTGCCGGCGAGGAGCGGCGACCGCATGCGAGTGAGCTGCAGGAAGAAGGACCTGCACCCTCAGTTCTACGAGGACGCCAAGGTGTACTGCAACGGCGAGCTGGTGATGACCACCGGCGGGACCCAGCAGGAGTACGTCGTCGACGTCTGGTCCGGCAACCACCCCTTCTACCTCGGCAACCGCTCCGCCGTCCTCGTCGACGCGGACCAAGTCGAGAAATTCCGCAAGAAGTTCGGCGAGCTGTCGGAGATCATGGAGATCCCCGTGCTCAAGGGGGAGATCATAGTGCCCTCGCGGCGCAAGTCGGCTAAGGGTGGTAAGAAGAAGTAGGGTTTCTTTGTGCTGTGCCTTTTGCAATTAAAATTGTGATTGAGCCTTTGTTTAGTTGTTGTAATTGAATGAGATGGTTTCTGCTCTAATGGAAAGGGGAAATTGAGAGTGGTTGATGTGGAGAATTCACTTGTTCTTGCTCCTTTCTATGATGGTCGCTTTCTTTCCATGTCAAAATACCTGTGAAGCATAGTGGTTTTGATGCTGAGGGTGAATAAGGTATTGGATGATGTTCTCACTTTGCCATAATAGTTGGCTGAATTGTCTTAACGCCACGGGATGATGGAGTATGTATTGTGGAACGGGTCTACGGTCTTCCACTGAAGTCTCGGTTTGAGTGTAGAATGAGGGTGGAAGAGAACTTCGGTTGCTGATTTAACAGTGACTGTGAATGTTCGAGATCTCTGGGAAGCTGTTACACCTTGTTAGGGAAGAGCATTTTGCGAGGATTGATCTTGGGTAGATTTTGATGCTCGGGGTAATAAGTATCTGATTAGAGGTGATGCTGGACGAGGACTTCTTATTTATCATACTTCCCGAATGTGCATAGGGATAGGGAGTCCAGTTTGTATTCTTTTGTATGCGCACAAGAATGAATTGATTGACATCGAGGATAAAACGATGGTTCACCTCTGCAATCGATTACATCCTCTTAGCAGCGTTCTGAGCCTGATGGAGCAGGTATTACTAACTGAAGGTTTTCTTTTCTATGGGGGGCTGAAATTAGACATAGATAGAATTGAGGTGAAAATGAAACTTGAACACTTCAATTTATTTCACTTCAGCAACAAAAGAAGGTAGGAATAGAAAATGGATCATTATGGTTGTGGTGTTTGCTTTGCCATTTTGAACATGGAGTAGAAAAGGCTTGTGTTTAAATGTCAAAACTATTCTTTGAACAAATATATGACAGAGAGAAAAGTAAAGTGCCCTAGGAGTTATCTTGTTTCCTTTCTTTTGGCCGAGCAAATGAGTGACCCTTCCCTCATGCAAGTCCTCCTACAGCAGGGATGGGTAAATCCTCTCTTCTTTTTGGCTGGTAATGGATGAAACCTTTTGAATGTCCATTGTGGATGAATCATTGCCCAGTAAAAACAGAAAGCACTGCCACTTTCTACACAACTATAACTGCAGCTCTTATTTTATTGATGACACATGATTACATGACTGCATATTTCACTACAAGTGCCAGAAACGGCTTATTTAAGAGTGTCAGTCGAGAGCTTCTAGTAGCTTGCCTTCGTTTTTACTGATTCATCCAGGAGCTTAAAAGCTTAGGACTGTGATGGTGACGCTTCTTGTCACCAGTTGGAAGTAATAAAAAAAGCATGCGAATCCTGGGAATTCAGCATGACAGGCTTCCTGACTGGCACCTTCCCATTTTCTGCACTGGCTGTCACAACTTCCGGAGTCCCCGGAAAATCCTGACCAAGTTTGGCTATGCCTCTCAGACAGTTTTGCTTCTAGTGTGGCCAAATCTGTGACCGAAGAGGCACAATTTCATGAGACTCCAACAGTGGTTGTGAATCATTTAACAGATGAGTGCACATAGACAACTTCAAGGGAGATGGAAAAAGAAATAATCATCAAAACGGTATGGTGAAAGAGGGGCAATGCTACACCTCTATAAAGAAAGAAAAGGATGGACAAGAGGAAGAGGGAGTAATTGAGCCGACTACTCCTAAGCATAGCCATATCCAGAGCTGTTACTAATTCCTACTGAAAATAGTGGTGGCAGTGCTACGTTGTGTTACCATATATATAGCCACCGTATCATTCTTCCTTCCTGTCCGGTTTCTACAAAAGTATGGGTATATGGTGGACGGATGGATCAATTCTCTTGATTTGTTTGGATCGGAATGCTTGAATCAATTACAGAGTGCCAATGAATGATGAACCTGCAGAGCTTTTGTTGACTATGTATATCGGATTTCCAATCCTCCTGTCATTCCTTTGGCCACAAACAGAGAGTGAAGACTGCTATGGCCCGTGAGGGAGGATTTGTCTAGGTGGTCATGGAGTAGAATTAGGCAATTTAGAAAGCACATCAGAGGGAGTTGGAAATGTAAAATTCGCAGAACTTCTGTCCAGAGGATTTCTTGTTTATTGAGGTGATTGACATCACATGGCACTTCGTTTCTCTTATGGTGGAAATCGGTTTCAGGACCTGTATCTATTCTAAGCGCCCCAAACCACCGCAATCCATTATCACCAGGCAAGAAGATGACAACCCGTCTAAACAAGAAGAGAAAGATTCGAGAGGAAAAAAGAGGGACCAAGTTAGGTAATTGCTCGTTAGCTTAGGGATTTCGTCATCTGTTGCAACTGGAAATAGCAGAGAGCTAGTTCCATGACTGCATGTCAAGCAGCTTGCTTTACCAATTCCCTTGTCCTCTTTTTATGATGGTTTACTCTTGTGGTCGTCCGATAGAACAAGTTCCTTTTGATCCTTTATTGTGCGTGTTCGAAAGGGAGACCAAACTAGTGCTTGCTTCAGACGGAGGTGGCAATATGGGGCAGTTACCCACTTTTTAACTCAAATCTGTTGGGTTGGGTTGTATATGGGTACAAAAACTTCCATTAAATAGGTTGAAATGGGTCAGAAACATAGAAACCTAGTCTTACATGGGTTTTGATGAGCGATATAGCTCAACATCACAACTGCCGGGATGGCTTTATTTAGTTTATTATACACTAGTATAAGCTCGGAATTGGCCACGATAATCTGCTCGATCAATAGTTGAATTAACATGTATCTAAGAACACATGGTAACGTGAACTACATAGTTCAACATCACAAGGGCCGGGATGGCTTTTTTAGTTCATCATACACTAGTACAGAGTACTTAGCTGGGAACTAGCCTCGGTAATCCGTTGAATCAAGGTAATCCGTTGAATCAACAGTTGAAGTAATCTGTATCTAAGAACACATCGTAACATGAGCGATATAGTTCAACATCACAAGTGCCGGGATGGCTTTATTTAGTTTATTATACACTAGTACAGAGTACCAAGCTCGGAATTGGCCACGGTAATCTGCTCAATCAACAGTTGAAGAAAAGCACGCGAATCCAGGAAACTGAGCATTGCACGCTCCATTCCTCGCACCTTCCTAGTTCCTGCACTGGCGGTTGCAGTGGCCAGAGTTCCCGCAAAACCCCGACCGCGTTTTGCTCCACCTCTGGCATAATTTCCCCTCCACCATGGCCATCTCTGCATCGTAAAACTGCAGAAACCAATCACTAGGCTCAGCATAGCGATGGTACCTGATCGGCACACATTGAATACAACTTAAAAGAGAATTCATAAGGCACAAAAAGGTTGTGATCTAACCCGTAGAAATGAGGAGGAAAAAGATGGAGTGCAGCAAGATAGAGGGAGCGAGCCGATTGCTCATTAGCTTAGCCATTTCTTACCATCGGTTTGAGTTGAAAATTGTGGTGTTACTGGCGTGACTTCATGCTAATTTATCCATAGTCCAGTTGATCAGATCAGATTCTCTCTCTCTCTCTCTCTCTCTCTCTTCTTTTCAACGACACAATAAATTGATCAGCAGAGTAATCTTGGACAGATGGGTCAGTTTGCTCTCGATTCTCTGTATGTAAGGGTTGGAATTTGTGGAAGTAGGTCGTGGACCAGTCAAGAGATATCACTTGGAGATGATGAGCATGAACCAAAATACTGCTGGATTTGGCTGTACATGCATGACAATTATACATGATTATGGGCAAAATCTATTGCTTGTGATAAGAAATATTGGCCTGAAAACATGACCATTATGCACATGACAAGCTTGTAGTGTTGTGAGCAAGTGGACTACGCTGGTCAGCCTGAGTTACTCCAATTTGTTGTACTTCATAGCAAGGCATTCATCCGACTGCAAAGAAACGTCGTGAATGACTAGAGTCACTTGTTCAACCAACAAGATTAAGTTGATTTTTTCAGAAATTGGCTATTGTTACCAAGCTTTGGTGAAGATAGACAATCACATCCATCCAAAACTCAAATAAGAGCCGTAGGACTAGGATTCGTCTAGTTAAATTGATAATGTCATAAATTAAGATTTGAGTATCCTCGTCGTTTTTGTATATGTTCCTGTTTCTATTAATATGTTTATTTCTTTTTTCTCATTTTTAGACTATTTTTCTTCTTTAGAGTTTTCCTATTTTCACTGGATGTAGGAATTTCAGAAGATATAATTAACATTGTTGATGAATTACTGAAATTTGAGCAAGCCTTTGCTTTGGGGTTATCGCAATTCAGTTCTACTCTTAGCTATAATATATAACAAATTCTACATGCGGATGCGATACTTTGAAAGCAAGGGTCTGACGTCTAAAGAATTAATTTCGTTTCGAGTTATTATTAGTTGCAAATTCTCTAATAAACAAATGTACGGGAAAGTACCTAAAAAGTTATAAACTTATTGCATTGGTACTAATTCAGTTATAAATATTTTAATTGACCAATTTAGTCTTAAACTTTTTGTATTTGTGTCAATTAAGTGTATCCGGCCAATTTTAGCCTAAAATCACTAACGTGGATATCGGCCATCCTAGGTGGCATGGCCGGCGAGCGATGTTAACGTAGATAATATTTTATAATATTTTAAAAAAATTTGAATCTTGACTTTTTTTTCTTTTTTCTTCCTTTCATTTTGGCTAGCGAGGGCTAGTTAGCCCTCGCCAGATCTAGGAGAGGCCTTCACCAGCCGCGACGGCCTCACCCATGGCCGGCAAGGCCACAATGGGCCTCGTCTAGGGCCATCATGGCCTCGTTGGCTGTGAGCGAGGTAGCGAGAGCCCTCACCAGTGGCTAGCGAGGGTTGCCATCGACCCTAACCGACCAAATGAAAGAAAAAAAATAATAAGAAAAGAAAAGAACAAAAAATTACAAAAAATTATTTTAAAATGCCCATGTCAGCGCCGGTCTTGCCACATGGAACAGCTAGCATTCACGTCAATGATGTCCAACTAAAATTGGCTAGATGGTCTTAATTGACACAAATTAAAAAAGTTTAGAACTAAATTGGTCTAATTGAAAGGTCTATAACTGTATTGGTACGAATGCAATAGGTGTAGGACTTTTTTGGTATTTTTTCCAAAGACGTGTGATGACGAGTCCCGGCCCAAAGAAGCGAGTCAAATCCAAAAAGAAAAAGACTGTAAGATAGTTCTAATAGACGGTGACTCGAGAAGAGTAAAGTTCTTTAGGCATCACATTCAAAGCCTCTTAAGCATTATATTTCCCCTATGATTTCTCTAGCTACATATCTAAGATTTGCTACATTGTAATAATCCATCAACTCCATTGAACCTAAAGAATTACAATGGGGAAAAATTACTAAAAAAGTCCTAAATTTATTGTACGGATATCAATTCAATCATAAATCCTTTAATTTGGCAAATTTAGTCAAAATTTTTTTGACAATTTGACAATTTAGTTGTTCCGGCTAATTTTGACCCAAATTGCTAAGGTAGATGTCAGTCGCGCCATGTAAGACGGGCGACATTTTTTTGAATTTTATTATTATTATTATTTTTCATTGTTATCAGCAAGGGTCGCCGGCCATTGGGCAAGGACCTAAAAGCCCTCACCAATGACGAGCGAGGGTGCAAAGGCCATCGCCAGATTTGGGCGAAGCAGCAGACATGGGCCTCGCTCAGATGTGGCGAGGGTGCATTGGTGAGGCCACGAAGCCCTGCCCTAGGCCTTTGAGGCCATCACAATCTCTCTGGCCGCTAGTGAGGGCCACGACCCTCATCAGCTTCCTCACTAGCCACAATGACCAAAAAACAAAAAAGAAGAAGAAGAAGAAACGAAAAAGGAAAAGAAAAAAATTAAAATTTTAAAAATTGTCTATGTCAGTGCTGGCCATGCCATAGGAAAGGCGATATCGACATGAACGATTTTTGGCTAAAATTGGCCTAAATGACTAAATTGGCGAATTGTCAAAAGGTTTAGAGTTAAATTGGCCAAATTGAAATGTTTGAATTAAATTGATATCCATACAATATGATTATGATTTTTTTTTATTCTCCCATTACAATGGTGTTCATAGAATCTTCTAATATTCCCACTCCCGATGAAAGTTGTTACCCTCCAAACAAGAAAAAATAGTAAAACACGAAATAAAGGAGCATAATATCCTACCCATATTAGAAATAGGAACCAAATTTAAATGCTAAGTTTAATACAATCCTAATTGACAAGACTACTAATTTAACTCGGAGAAGAATCGTAGTCTTAGGGACCGTTTGTTATTTGAGTTGGGATCGATGGGCGATAGGCCTTTATCAAAACCCTGAAAAAAGAAGGCAATCTTTGAACAAGTATCATATTGCTTGATCTTGTGGACCACATAATTCTTCCTTGATTGGAGAAAACCCGTCATCCAGTTTTCCCGATAAACAATTGGATTGATCAATTTTTTATGGATTAGCACGAATGATATTGATCAATCCAAGCATATGCTTAAGAATCCTTGCTAAGCAAAACTCTTGTATGGATGCCTGGACTTGGACGGAATCACACAAAATCAATATCTTCAACTATGCTTGAGTAAACAGCCACCTTGATATGATTCTTTCTGGTTTTCTCCAACATAAACTTTCGTAAACATTATGGCCTAGTTTCCGACAAACAAAAGCAGACATGATTCAAGTTGACTTCGATGTTTGATTCATCAA